ATGGTAAAGAAAGGGGTGACAGCTGCCAGCTGCAGCTTGGAAAGTTCAGAGTGGACTAGAGAAAAATTTCTAGTGCTGCATTAGAAGTGTTACCCAAGGATGCTGTAGCTTTCCCTTCCTTGGAGGTTTTGAAAGTTCAGCAAGATAAACCTGCAGCTGACCTAGTGCTGAAGGTTCATGAATTAATTTAGTTTGGAGGGGACTTCCAGGGTTCATCTAATCCAGACTTTTGCTCAAAGTAGATCCAACAAGAGCAGGTTGCCGAGGGTCTTACTAAGTTTTGAATGTGTTCAAGAATGGAGAACCCAACCTTTCTCAGCAATGTGAGACAGTATTTCACTGTCCCAATAGTGATTTTTTTTCTTGTATGTATAGACAGAATTCCCCATGTTCCAACTTGTCTGTCAATTCATACTATCACTGTGCACTTCTGAGAGAAGTCTGACTCCAGCTTCTCTTTACCTTCTCTTTATACCTTAGAGAGTTGTTGACAGCAGTAAATGTCCCCTTTAATGTTGTTTTCTTAAGGCTGAACAAGCCCAGTTCGCTTAGCTGTTCTACTCTTATGTCTTGCAGCAGCCCTCTAACTGTCTTGGTGGCCTTCCACTGATCGTGCTCCAGGATATCAGTGTCTGTCTTGTACTGAGGACCCTCAAATAGGACACAGCACTCTAAAAGCAGCCCCATAAGTGCAGAACAGAGGGCAAGAATCTCCTCCCTCTACCTGGTGGCTACAGATTTCTAATGTGGCCTGGAATATGGTTGGCCTTCGTTGCCACAAGGACACTTTGCTGACTTGTGCACACTTTGGGTTGGATGTGGTAGTCTCAACTCTGAGAGAAGTAGCTTTATTAAGCTCTTTCTAAAACTTGCCAACTTCTGTCTTAGGCTGTACAGGGGTGTTGTCTAAGACTAAATTTCAGAGGTGCTCTTACTGCTGCACCTTATTGAGGTGACACTGTCAGACCTTCAGGGATGAATACTGTACCCTGAACTTTTAGGTAGCACAAGTATTGCTCAATGTTTCTGTTGTGTTCGGCTTTTTTTTTTTTTTTTTTTGTTAGCAGGTACCCCTACTTCGTGATTCCTTGCTCTTCCTCCTAGAACAAACCTGTCCAGTACTCCATTTTTCATAGCTGATGTGGAAAATTGTCTCACTCAATGTGAATAGGATGAAGTTCATTAAGGCTTTTATAAATCAGCTGATTAAAAGTTATACTGCTCTGTAAAGAAATAGCATCTCTGTGCCTTGATGAAAGCACATCCATGCATAAAATAACTTTCTCTTATTTTGTTAAGGTGGTTTTGTATTACAAAGTTAACAGCAGAAAAAGACATAGTGGGTGATTTAATTCATCTTTTGCCAGATGAACTGTCCCAGCACTGCTGTACTGTTGTTTGGAGCTTCATCCAGGTTAGTTTTGAATGAGTAGCAGACCATGTTTAGAAGATCATGGTCTGGATACTCCAGAAATACTTGTGTCTTTATACCCCACTGATTTTTCCTAGGAATTACAAGTCTGTGCTATTATAAAAATTAGACATGAAGGGAAAAAAAAGGCTATCATGTACTAACTTTGTATTCTGATACATTGCAGATTATTTAACCTAGCTCATTTAGTATGTCTGCTATGAAAGTCAAAGATATCATGATGTTCTTTATTTGAACCAGAAGACCTTTTGATGTACCTGTCCTTCACTTGAAAAACTTCAGCTGCACTTTGACCACGTGAGATACCTATGTAAGGAAATAAGTGGTGTCACTTCATTCCACACATGAACAGTCTGTAGCACAGACTGGAACATAATCTTCAAGAAGTTATAGTTTGACTGCCTGTATGGCGAGATGGGTATGAGCATAACCTTAATTACAGTCTTTACCAGCACGGAATCTAGCACAGTGGGGTTTTATGCCTGTGATTGCTGCTCGTGGGACAGACTGACTGTGTTTCCCTTTCATTAGCTCTTGTAAAATTATCAGAAACCCTCCTTCAGTCTTCTCTGTGTGTGTTTGCTTTTGGGAATTGGAGTATGACAGAATTCACATTTGGCAGTCATTCTGTCCCATCAAAAGGGTACAGCTGGGAAGATAAAGGTCAAAGGAAATGATCAAATATGTAGATTTAGTGAGGGCCTAGTGAATGCTCACTGATGATGAGGGAGAGAAGGTCACCAGTATTGCTTGACTCTTGCCTTAGTTGGGGTCGTATCAGTTTGTCTGATACAAAAGCATTTGCAGTGCAGGGAATTAAACTGTGTGGAACAGGAACAGAAATAGAAAGAATATTTTAAAAGCAGAGAGGGCAGCAGAGGTCAGCTTACTCTGCACCTAAATTTGGCAGCTGGGTGCAGAGCTCAGTCTGTCAGACATCTAAAGAACTCATTTGTTTGCGGAGTTACCTGAGCTTTTGATTGACAGCGTTACCTGATGTGTTCCTTTGCTGTTCTGTGTTCACTTTCAATGCACAGCATGCTATTTTTACACTTTTGAACACAGATGCAATGTTCTGTGGTTTTGTAATAAGGGACTAATGGAAGCTTTAAATAAAATAAAGAAAAATAAAAAATCTGCTTAACAGTACAAAAAAAAGGGCATTATATGTTATTTCTACCTATAAAAATTTCTGAAGTCTGAAATGTATCTGTGGATAGTAGATGGTAAAGATTTTTATCAATGTTTATGTGTTTCTTTTAAAGGTCAAGAAATGTCATAAGAAAAGATTGAAAGCACTTCATGTAAATTGTTCCTGGAACATACCCAAGTGGCTCTTATCTCCTGGGTTCTTTTTTTTTTTTTAAGAGCTGTAGGAAGTAATAACACTTTTTCTCTACACCAGGAATTCAAGGAGAAGGATAAACCAGGGTAATGAAGAGGGACTTGGTGACACATATCAGTTTAATTTTAGATAGAATGCTTATGCCTTCATGATAAAGGGATTCTGTTCATCTATCACTAGAGAATAAAAGATGACACCAACTGGTTGACTAGCTTGAGGGGATAACCAAACCGTGTTTTGGTACCTCTGAGATTCATTGTAACACTGAGTAATTGAAAACAAAAGGCCTGGTGGTGTTTGAAACTTTCACACTTAAATTAAGATTTGTGCAGCTGACACAGTCATATGTGAGTTAGAGAGGATAGGAAAAACAGAGCAGCAACAGATTAATTGATCAAGTGAAGTTAGTGGAAACCCACCCCCACCCTCCTTACTGACCTAAAGTCAGTAATGCTGCTTGTGTTTAGGCTTTTTCTTACCAACCAGTACTCTTTTTTTTTTTCTTTTTAATATCAGAGCCTTCAAAGTAGTAAAATTTGACAGATGACAACGAAACTTCCATTTGAGAAAACTCATTGTGCAGAGTGCCTCCCTCCCTCAGTGACCTGATGCTCTCGGGGTGGCCAGCCCCTGTCTGCACCAGTTAACATGCTGGCCCATGGTCATAGAGCTGATCACATCTCCCCAGTCTGGACAAGGGCCAGACTGTGCTCTCACTTACTAATCCACTCAGCATCCAAGCCCTCTGCTTCCCTGGCTCTGTGTGCTGCAGTGTGTCTGTCCCTGCCCTCTACTGTGGCCTCTTTTCCTGGGTGCCTTTTCCTCCTGGCTCGGGAAGTTTGAGTAATTCAGACTTTCCCTTTCCTCCAGCTGTGGAGGCTACGTAAGTGACCATTTAGTGCTAATCATGAGTGAAAAGAAGAAGATTTTCCTGAAGGTTTTCACTATTTCAGCTAGTACCAGAAGTATGTGTACATGTTTAGGCAAAATTAATAAATCCCATATACAATTTTGTCGGAATGTTTCCTTATCTGAATGTGCCTCCTGGTATTTAGATGTGTTCATGCATTTCTTTATTTTCTTGATTCTCCAGGCATATTGCCTTTCTTAGGCTGCCTGTTTCTGGAGTTTCTGGTCAGCATCCAGCCAGCAGAGGCAACACATACTTGGACAGTTCTGCTATGGTACCAAGTGTCCTTTAAGGAGTGCTCTGAATGAAAATCATTAGAAAAAAAATAATCATCTTTCTCTGAAACTAAATTGAGAATAAATTCTGTGGGTTTTCATTGTCCCTTTTCACAACAGAAAGTCTGAATCAAAAGGGGTGTATAGGTATTTGGGGTGTGATAGACAAATTACCTTGGAGCCTTGATTTTGAGGTTTCAGAGCTTTTACTCTGAAGAAAAAATTATCACTTTCTTTGCAACCAAACCAGAGCATTCAGCAACACCCAAGGAATCTCAAGTGTAGAAAGTGAACTACAAATTGGCTTCTAGAATATGGTTTTGTTTGCTAGACTTGAGACACTGGAGAGGAAAGTAAGGAGGGAGGGGAGAATATGGACTTATGAAAACTGGTCATTAAGTTAATGGATCCTGTAATGTATGAAGGAATATCTGTCAGACTTTAGAAAAACATGAGCCCCAGAATACACCTCTTATCTTGAAACCATATGCAGGTATAAGAAATAGGGTCTTCACATAGTTGTCTGGAATTTTCCATAAAAGAGAAAGAGAGAGGAAAAGCAGCAGATTAAGTTTCCTCCTCCAATCCTGTCGCCATACCAATACTTCTGACTATCTGTGCTGGTACTTCTGCTGATAAAGAGTAATTTAGAGTTTGGAAGAGGTCTTCAGTGCCCACCTTAGGAGAGCTGGTGTGTAGTTGCAACTCCATTTATTAAATAGAAATGAAGCTTCGCGAACTGCTGTGTGATCACACAGTATTCATAGAAAGTGATACAACTCTCATGTTTACAAATATGCAACTGTTTTCTGCTCTTTAGTTTGAAAAATTATTTTCAAGAGATTGCTTCTATTTATAAGTGCCAGAAGAATACTGAGGCAGTCAGCTGCTTGCTTCTCTTACCATTTGCAGCGATATGGTATACAAATTATAACTTTGTAATTGTGATTCCTGCTTCGAGTGCTCTGAAAAATTGTAGCCTAATTAAATAATTGTGGTGGTTGTTTGTTGTTTTTTTCTTTAAATACATATTTGCAGCTGAGAGTTTCAAGGAAACCCAGATGGTAAAGATAAAGGAAGAACCAATGGAAGTTGACATTCATGACTCGCAGGCTTCAGCGTCCCCCAGCCAACCCAGCCAAAATGTTGGCTACAGCACTTTATTAGGGAGAGACATTAGTGAACGGATACAGAAGGCACCAGAAGGCCGTGTGCTCCCAGAAAGAAATCTATTCAGCCAAGATATATCAGTGAAGATGGCATCTGAGCTGCTCTTCCAGTTATCAGGTAAAAGCAATGGAACTAATCAGTTAGTTGAATTTAAAGAACGAAACGAGACTTCTGTATTAACCATTACGGTGCTATGAAAGTGTGAGATCACTAAGGCTGAAAAGTAATGGGAATTAGAGCCCTTCTGCCCTCCCATTTGAAACACAGAAGCCTTGCCAAGTGTCCCCCATAGTAAGCATATGCTTTAAAGCACTCTGCCAGTCAGCTCAGGTTCACAGCATTTGAGCTGAGTTGGAAAAGCCAGAGTTCAACTCCTGTATTTTTGAAAGCTAATTAAGTCATTTGTGATGACTGGTTTGATCCAGGCCTTGGACTACAGGGAAACCTATACTCCAAGTATAGGCAGTTACTGGCCTAAATGGCCAGTGGCTGCAGCAGGCATTGCTCCTGGGGCTGCGCTGTCCAATTCTCTTGGCAGAGAAGGTGAAGCTCAGCTATCACACAAAGGCAGTGATACCAGCACTCTGTTTAATGAACACTTGTATTGCACACTTTGCATGGAACACTAACACCGATATATGAAGCTGAAAAAATGTGTTGGGCGTTAGTTTAAATAAAGTCATACCCGTTCTCTAATCATGCTTGAACCATTTACCCTAAACAACTCTAGGTTATGCTGTTATCTGAAAGCATTAAAATAGTTTGGATGAGTAAAATCTGACAGGGGAATATATGTTACATGCTAATCACAGAAAAACACATATGTTCCTCTGCAGAAAAGGTGAGCAAAGAGCACAACCACAATAAAGACAACACCATCAGAACTACAGCCAGGTAAGTACAGTCCATTGTTATTTGCAAAGCTGTTCTGTAGATAACATTGCTTCATTTTGCCTTGTGAACTCAAATGTGTCTGTCTCCTGCAAATGTGACCTGATACTATAAATGTAAGATATTTTCATGAGTAATGTAACCTATATCTGAAAAATTACAACTACAGAGCTGATTGCTTAGAGTTAAAGCCCTTTGGGCCAAAATGACTGTTCTCCTCTGATCAAGTATTCACACATCATTTTAAGAATTATTTATTCTATTTTTTTCAACAAAAACTGAAACTTAATAGAAACTGCATGGTATGTGCAGTGCTTGAGTGCAGACCAAGCTGAAAGCTGGATTTTAAGACATGGACCAATGTAAGAAGAGGTGATTTTGATTGTCTACTGTCAAACTTGATTTCTTTAGAAAAATTTTAGTTTGGTATTTCTGTCATCTCAGTACGTTCTAGGGATGACTTTTTAAAAGCAAGACTGTACTATCAAAACATTTGTTAAAGATTGTTAAAGATTGCAGTCACATTAACACAATTTAAATTATCCAGGAATTAAAAACATGATCCAGTTGTAGCATGTGCTGTTAAAGAAATATGCACTTAACAGTGCCATGGCTGGGAACAAGCCCGTGAGTTGTCTACATGTATGTGAGCTGCAAGGTGAGGTGTCTCTGTGGGAGTATTCAAAGCTCATGCAATAAGTGGTAGCTGGAATTGTTAGAGGCTTAGGTGCCCATGATGAGGAGCAGGCAGGAATTGGTAAGGATACATTTATTTCCTACCTGAAAGTTCCCTAATTATTTTGGATGGGTTGGACACTGAGCACACTGAAGTGATGAAGAATTCCTTCAAAGATAGAGTCGGATTTTCAGTGCCTCTGCAGCCCCTTCTACAGAAGTTCCCAGAGTGTTCAGTGCCTGCTAACTTTAAACAACCTTGTCCAGACAGAATTAAAAAGCATTTCAGTTGCAAAGAAAAGATCTCTAAAATATATTGTCCCTAAATTTCTAGGCCTATCACATTCATTCATGGTACTTGCAATAAATAAATAATTTGTTTTTAATAAACTGACCAACTCAGTAAATGTACATCAGGGACTTTTTTATGTTACAAGTTGAAAGATAATGAAATTGAGCATTTAGCTTCTGGTAACAGTGAATGCTTCCCATATTTGCTAGTTTGGGAATTTGTGGGATATGCAGCCTGCATAGCATTTCTGTGACTACTTAAAAAGCATAAGCTTGAGATACAAATGGAGATAAATGCACATATTGCCCAACTGCTCATTAACCATCCAGTGTGCATTGCAGAGAAGGGGTGACAAATAGTTGAAAATAGATTTCAGTGTCTCATGATGTTACCAGCAGGACTGGTGTGAGAATCCAGAACTACTTTTGGATCTATCAAAGATAATTCAAATTGGTAAGGTTGAGGATAGCTCAAGGATAACTTCCCCTTCTTCTGGCTGCCAGCTTTTAAGAGGGTAGCAGAGTTGGCTGTTGTCAAACTTGTGCTGAGTTTTACTGAGATGTCCTTATAATGGCTGCTACCTATCAGGGCACAAAATGCTGAGTGCCTGCTTCAGTTTTTCTGAGTGCTTTTCTTATCTCGCCTATTTATCAACAGAAGAAGACATGAATGAGGTGAGCTTCTAAAGGGGAAGTGAGTCAGTCTACTAACTCCTGCTAGTTCAAACAGATTGACTTGAAAGACCTTGCCAAAAAAAACCCCACCCAAACCCAAACAGCTGGAAGTCTTTACTGGTGAGGGTATGACGCCTTCTCAAAAATAGAATGTGATGGAGCAGCCAGTGGAGGATAGAGGCACTTGGACTGCATTAAGAAAACATGTGGTGTTGCAGTTTGGCTCACCAACCCACATCTGGAGTAATGACAAAAAGGCATTTGAATCACAATTGCTGTGTGAAATTTGCTGACAGCTGCAGAGAGCCAAGGTGAGGTCAGTGTTGTCCACTTGTAAGTAACTGGGGAGCAGAAAGATTAAGCTGTGTCATTGGTGAGTCTTAAATCAGCAAAACCCAGCAAGATGGGGTACACAGGCACTTTTTGCTGTCTTATTCCTTATTAACATTTCTAACTGTCACCTATCTGTTGCTGTTCCTCCTGTGAGTATTCCTGGACTTTGCGAGCACATACTTCCATATGACTTTGCTTAAGCAGCCGAAACTGGCAAGGATTCCTCACAGTTCAATGGCTGAGTGAGATGGTAGAGCCTGCCATCTGTGATAAGAAGACAAAGTGGAGAAGCAAAAGTGATCTGGAAGTGAGTACGCCAGCGTAAGATGCCAAGATAAGTTTCTTTCATCTAGAGAACTGTGTAGCCATGAAACTGGAAAAGTGCAGCCAGAGGAAAAACAAAATCCTAAAGCTTAATCTTCATCAGAAAGGACTTTGCACAGTGATTGAGAACAATTTATGTTATTTCTTACTATGAAGCAGGAGCTCCTCCCTCCATACTTTGCACTGGAAATTGGGGGACATATCTGCTGAAATAGAAATAATAATAGGGCCAACAGTGAAGAGACGCAGCTGCCATTCTAGAGGAAGGCAGAAAAGAGGTATCCAAGGATGGTTCTGTAATTCACCAGAGGCCGATGGCAGAGAGGGAAATCCTTGGGATATATATCGCCACCATGCAACCTTCTGCAGCAACCTGCTCATGATATATGGCCTAGCCTGAAATAGATAAGCCCTGCGTCATCCATTTTGCGTAGAACCAGCAATGAGCACTGTCCCAGTGACTGAATCTCAGGCACAAACAGGACGACCAAGAAGGAAACCTGAGTGGATTACAAGATTTTGAAGAGTTACAATAGTAATAAAACATTTTTTATTGATGTTTTTCTTTCAAATCATTATTAAACCAGTGAGAGGAATGTTGCAATAAATCGTGCCATATTTTTATACAGTGTCAGTCTGTTTCGTATTATGTCACCCCTGAGTGGGAGTGTGAGTCTTGGAAGAAGTTAAGTTTTGCACATATGGGTTGGAGCCGTTTTGTTTTATCCTGTTCACTTGTTTTCTTGAGTATTATGCATTGTTCAGCTATCAGCATACACTGAGCTGTTCAGGTCTGGGGCAACTTCATGCCTTACCCTTCAGCACAACCTAAGGTTGACTGTTCGCAGTTACTGTCCAAAAAGACTTAATGAGAAAGTAAACAATGTGATTGCCAGAAGTGTTTCATGATCAAGTTAACTAATCATCAACTTTCCCAAAGGCAGATGAGATCTGACTGAGAATACAAGTGACTTGGTGGAGAACACGTTGTTCCCCCTCTGCAGAAAAACTGCATAAGGGACAACATAGGCAAGTGCCATCATTTAGACAGACACCTTGGGTATCTGGACTGGTAGGGTCAACTTGGTTGGTGCTGCTGGCATGTACTTTCTGAGTCTGGGCTACCCACTGTGCAATGGTTCATAAGACCTCGTAGTATGTTCTTTATCCTGAAAAAGTTCTTGGATTTCGTTACTGAATAAGAACAGGCTGCAGAAATGATCTGGCCTCCTGCCTTGAACCTTTAGAACACCTACTATACACCAGCCTGTTAAGGATTCTCTATCTGAGAAAGATCAGATTTAATGTAATTCTCACTTTGCTTAGAAGAAATTGGTAGTTTGCATGCAGATGGAATACACTGCCTTAGAAAACAGTTTTCCAAGAAATACTGTCATTTTCCGTTTTTATTTTTTTATGTACCTCTTCCCTATGTCTGTCTGTACTGTAGACAAGAAATTCTTATTTCTGTTACAATCTTTAATTGAGTAGAAAACAAATACTTCAACAGAAATGCCATTTCACTATGAAATTAACTTTTTCCTGACTATTAAATAAAATCAAAGCAGATATGCTTTTTGGAATCAAGTAGCTGATAATTTTTGTAGTTAATACTCTTCGGGAAGTACCCATTCATTTAGGTTATATGAATTGTTTCCTGCTGTAAAAATTAAACTCATGGAGTTAATTTCATTCGTGGAATGCCAAGTCAGAATAGAGCTATTAAGCATCTTAACCTAAAATTTGAAAAGTTTTTTGTTTTAAAGATAACTGCTGTATGCCTCAGATTATTAAATAATATTTTTTACCTTTTCTGATTGCCTTCTCCAGATATGACAGTATAAATTTCTGAAGTGTTAATTTTAATGATCCATATTGAATTGTGATATATAGCAAATCTAAGATGTTGAAATGTAGCTAAAAGACTTCTGTGAGGACTTCAGTTTTCACTCTGAGGTGCAATTTTACTAAAGCATTCTGCTTCTCCACAACTTGCCTCATGGTCTGCCTATTTTTCAGCATGAATTCTGTATAACATTAAGATGCTGGGGTCAAAAGTCGTATTTACTTCTTCTGTTAACTGCTGTTTTCTTTAAAAAAAGGCATCTTGTTTTTTCCTATAGCCCTTTCTTTTCTGAAGACACATTTAGACAATCACCATTCACTTCCAACTCAAAAGATCTCCTGCCTAATGAAACTACTCTTCATGGAAGGACGTCTGCATCAGGTCAGACACCTTTTTCTTTCATTACTTCCAGTTAATGTATCTTTTTAAAATTTTTTTACTGTAAACTCCACCACCTGACCAATGCTCTTAAAATGTATTTCACTTGTCAAAAGGCAACTATCTCTCCATAAGTGCTTATTATTAAAAAGAAAAAGAAAAAAGTTAAATACTGCTGAAGCATTTGCACAAATAGTCTTTAGACTACTATTTCTATGAATGGTGCAATAGTCTATAACAGATTAAACTCAACAGTACCAACAGAGGTTGGGGGAGGGGGGTTGTGTGTGTGTATCCCCAGTGTAAAGGAACTGTACTGATGTCGAATTCCTGTCTGCTCTTCTCCTGTTCCTGGCCATTTCCATCTCTCAGAGTACAGATGAAATGTTTGCAGTACATGTACCAGGGTGGCTGAGCTTGGCAATACAATTTTCCTGCCTTTAGCAGTAATTTAGAACCTTTCTGGAAGGATGTGGAGTTCTTCAAATGTACTGAAAAGCCTCAGTACATTATCTGTGGGTACGTTCCCATGGATCTTCTGAACTAGTTGACAGGCATTTTATGTCCAGATGTAGCTTGGGATTTATTCTACATTAAAATGGAAAATATAGGCATGTAACAGTACTATTCAAGGTCGCACTGAACACATGCAAAAACTTGATACGTGCCTTTACTGTCCTGTTGGAAAATAACTCGTTTGCTAGTTCACTGCTATCTCTTCTTAAATTAATAGCTCTCGGGTTCTAAAGGTCAGTAATTACACAGTCAGCCATAGGGGGGGTTATTCACCTTTTCTTAGCAATCAATAAAGTTTTGGGCACGTTACTGCTAATTTTCAGCTATAGACTGTCATTTAATTTACGACTTAACAGACCCTTCATTTTTTTTAATGCTTGAATAGTCATTTGACAGCTTGTGAAGTGGCAGATGAGGGTAAGAGCTAGATGCTGTCTAAGGGTAAATATGCAGAGCAAGAAGAAAAAAAATTGTAGCATAAGGACAAGGGTCTTCAGGCTAGCTGCAGACACAGTTCTGCAAGGAAGTAGTGGATTTTTTAACTCTAGGTGAGGAGAACCAGATCGGGTGTGGTGCTTTTAAGTATTAAAATATAAACCAGGTTAGCACTTCAATCCTGGCTTTTGACCTTGGCATAGCATGGAATATTCATATGCCCATATGCCCAGATGAAAGATGAGAACTCATAGACTCCTCAGGCAGTGCTCAATACCTCAGAGGACGTGGCCTCTAGCAGCAATAGTCTTACATCATAGCAAGATGAATGCAATTTTAATTCTCTCTAAGACTTCGTTTTAAGTGAGGCTACTAGAACTGTGGATGGGTTTTGGTGACATGTTTGATCTTCTGCTTAAAAGATGTAAAGTATCTAGTTGGTTAGATCATCCTGGAGTGTTAGAATGGCTTCTGAGGAACTGGGTTTTTGTATGCTTATGCTGCTCCACAATCTGTTCTACGGAATATAAGTATTACCTTGATAGGTCTGTGTATTATAACACATTGTGGTGATAAGACTCTTGTTATATAATAGGAGCATATATATTGAAAATTTTTAAAATGCCAGTGTTTTTTTCTGCATTTTTATTTTTGGAACAACTCCATCGTTCCAAATATGTTGTTTTTTTCTCAGCTTCATAACAAATTCTTGGACCTGAAGTGCACCTTCACAGTAGCACCAAGAATGTGATTTAAATTTTTAATCGGTTATAACTATGATATTCATGTAAAAGAACAGCAGAATACACTCAGGTAAATTTCCTACTAGTGTCAGCCTTGCAAGAAGAAATAGCGCAGAGGAAACTTTATCCCTTAAAAGAGCAGCATAAAGGAAAAGCAACAAAGAACTGTAAAAGGTCTTACAGAAAACGCTGTGAAAATGCGCATGTGGTCTCCCATGGAAAAGTGCTTTCAGTTGGGTTGGGTTACTTTGTCCCTGAAACAGGACAGTAAGAAGCAGAAAAGAACAGCACGAGAAAATGACAGGAAATGCCAAGTTCAGTGTCACCTTCAAGCCATCAACTAAAATCCAAGCAGATTAACTGCTAATGGCCAAGAGTGTTCATTAAGCAGTGTCCATGTCAAACAGTGCGACTCCGTGCTCCTGTCACCACATCCAGCAGAGTCTGGTGCACAAGTCTGGGTCCTGAGCTGCTGCTCTGTGCTGGCTCTCTGCAGCCAGCCTTGGCTCAGGCAGGCAGAGTGGCACAGGGAAGGCTGTGCTGCCACTTGGTCTGGGTGGCCTTGGTGGAACCCCGTGTACACGGTGCTTCTTTTCAAGCAAGACACCACTATGGGCGGTTGTATCCCCAGACTCCTGCCAGCTTTCTGTCTGCAGACTTTTTTGCACCCTAGCTGCAGAGGAATTGGGAAAAGTGACAGGAACATAGGACAGTAAGATATTTCATGTATCAGATTCAATTCTTTTCTGTAATAGGTGGCATTATGCAATCTTATTCATTACCAAGCTCCATCTTAAACCCCGTTGCCCTTATATTTGTATGAGGATGCCGTTTCAGAAGCTCATTCTTTGAAGAGCTGGGACCATTCTCTTTTCAGCCTAAATTTATTCACAGCAAGTTCTGCTTTTGTTGTTTTACCAGTGTTGTCCTTCAGCTTTGATAATTCTCCCTTGTGATGTTCACCATCTCATGTGCCATCTTGCATTCCTCTAATCCTATCTTCATCTTGGAAAAGTAAGCCAGCCAGTGTCTTTTAGTCTCTTCTGGTATGATAGGGTTTCCATTTCCTAGCCTATTTCTGCCTCTGTTTAGGGAAACTAATTTCTGCAAATATGATTAGGCAGAACTATATATGCTCTTTCATAGGAGGTTTTACCAGTGACTTTTTCAGTGACATGCAATCTTCTATATGTATATTAGAAATGCCTCTCCTTTGTAACTAGAACATGCTGATGACTCTCTTGCTAATCAAATAGTAACATGTTTTTTCTTTCCTTTATAATTTCAGTTGATGATTTCAGCATGCAACAGAAATTCCTGTTCCTATATTCTAGGCATATGACCTTGTAATCTGAATTGTTTCACTTGTTATTCTAGCTCTCAAGATTATTTCTTTAATACTGTGAAATCTCCGCATATTGATATTGCTTTCATTAATGCAATTCTGCTTCGGGTTTTTTGTGTTAAAGCTATTAAAGAGTATTTTTGAGTACAGTGGGTACAAAGTTCAGTCATTGAGATTTAAGCTTAGTGGCCTCCTCTGTGCAAACCACTTCCCTTCATAGCCATTTTATAAGAAAATTGCAACGTTGTGTATTTAAGTGGAAAAGCACTCTTTGTAGGGCATTAAGTGTATAAGATCCCCAAGGAGTACAAAATAATTAGGAAAGATTATTAAAAGATGTGTGAAAGTAATGCAGTGATCAGAGCATTTAGTGGAGAGAAAAAAACAACAAGCCAAACCAAAAAGAACCAAAACCCCCCCACTAAATAAGTAATGATATATTGATGGATTTGGCCTGAAATAAAGGTGAAGTATTCCTGATCAGCAGCAGTATCACAGGCAGGAAGGTCAATTCTCATGGGTAAGCTGTTAGGTCTGGTACCCAAGGAAATAACAGTGAAATCTCCAACAGCTGTCAGAAAGGGACTCATCAGACCCATAGAAGTCATGGTATCTCCCTGATAATCTGTGGTGAATTCCTAATACTCTGAGAAGGGAAGAAAGTTGTTTCCTATAGTCTGTAGATGTGGGGAATTGCTCCCCTTACTTTTTCAGGCATTTTGTATGTTAATAACACATTTCTTTATTAGTATTACTGTCCAGATAAGCTCACTTTTACTCAAAAATGGAAATAAAATAGTTTTGATGTCCACATTAATCAAACTCACTTTGCTCAAAAATTACCATAGTATCAAAGTAATATCTAATACAAAGCCAAATCCAAAACAATTCAATAATTTCATCTGTCCCCTGTAAGAATAGCAAAATGGCCTTTTCTACCCTAGCAAAAGTGAGGGAGAAGAAATTAATATTTTCATTTCAAACAGTCACTTTAAAAGGACACTTTATCTTCTGTTTTATAAGACTCTTCTTTTGACAGAATAGAGTTTGGTTTTATGTCAGACTATCCAGTTCAGTTCAGATCACTAGATAAATTAAAAACCTGATCTTATGCTGATGTTCCTGACCCTTAGCCAATCTTTAATGTGTTTTAATAGTTTTCCACTATGTCATTGACTTCTGCAAATCAAACCTGCCTTCATGAAATCCAGATGAGTGATATTCCCTATTCCATTTCTGTCTGGTTCATTAATATTGGTGAAAACTCTAGCCATGGGTTTTTGGGAGTGTTTTTTCTCCATGTATATCTGTGTGTCACATAATATTTCATTATTTTCTCTCCTGTTCACCAATGACCTGGTATTCTCCTTCATGTACACTGACAGCACTAAATATTGAAACAATCCCATCTGTAGTGGATTAAATTTAAAACAAAAAAACCCAAAAAACAAACAACATCTTTTTGTGTAAATTTACTACTACTTGCAAAGCTGTAATTTTGATGGTCGTGAAATGAATTTCACATGGCTAAAATAAACTTTTGGAACTGGACTATATAGGATTTGGGGAGTTATAGTCCATAAATAGCCCTCGTTTATTAAATTTTGCCACAGCTAAATTTACTGGTGGTGTTTGTTTCAATAAAACAAAGCCAGTAAATCTTCTGTGCTCTAGTACCTTTCTGAAATGCATCAGAGCCTCCTCTGTCATGTGTGTCCACACTCTTTACTGACCTGTAAGATGACAGATAGGCCATTCTTCTTATTCAGAAATGTCCAGAATCAGTAGCACGATACTTAGTTCAGTAGAAATCTGGAAACATAGCGCAGAAGTTTTGGGATTTTGGTACTGTCAGTTGTTCTTTCATGGAATTAGTGACATTTTCCCATCTTTATGCTTACTGAACTGAGGTAATATGTGTAACAAAGTTTCCAGTATTTTCAGAACTACATGCTATTCAGCAC